CCAGACTCAGGGGAGAGGGGCAGAGGCAGGCGGATATCTGAGTTTGAGGACATAATGGTTTACAAACTGAGTTCTAGGACAGCTAGGGCTACGAAATGAGACCCTGTCTTGAGTCCTCGCCAAAAACAAACAAACAAACAACAACAAAACAAAAAAACAAATAACAAAAATAGTAACAATAGGGGCTGGAGAGATGGCTCAGCACTTAAGAGCACTGGCTGCTCTTCAAAGGACTGGGCTCATCCCTAGCAGCCACAAGGTGGCTCACAACTCTCTGGAACTCCAGTTCCAGGAGAGCACTCCCCTGGTCTCTGCAGACACCAGGCACTCATGTAGGGCAGAGACATAGAGGCAAGCAAAATACCTAGAGATTTAAGAGAAATAAAACCCACCAACAATTAGCTTCATATCTTTTTTCATAATTCATGTCCATTCCCTGCATTCAGTCCTTCCCCATTCCCTTATACTTAGTCTTTCTTGTTCTTTTCTTTGCTATACTGTGTCCCATGTAAACATTTGCTTACATATATACATATATTATTGGCTACATTCCAAATATAACAGGCATTTTTCTGAGAATAAAATACATTCTAAGTTCATCCATTTTCCTGCGAGTTTTTGTTTAACTTTTTTTTTTTTTTAGCACTGAATAACATTCCATTGTTTTAAATATATTGTTGGGATTCTGGAACCCCAAAACCACCAAGAGACCACATCCAATGCAAAAGCAAAGTCTTTTTTTATTACAAGTTAAATGGGGTCCATCTGTCCGTTGGTCCACCCGCTGGTCCGATGGAGGAGGGACCCCCCAAGAGCAGCAGTGGGGCAGGGGGATAGAGCAAAGGGGGGATGGTCTGGGAGTCTTCAAGTTGCACGGACAGTCTGGGATAGGCACACCTCCAGGCTGGGGGAACCTGTCCTGAGGTAATTGGTCAGCTGCAGCTGGGGAAAGGTTGCTATACCTGGAAGCCATGGGGGAGCGGTTACTGCATTCCACCATTAACAGTAAAGCACATCCAGAGCCCGCCAGCGCCAGCTCACTTCTGATTGCTTCCTTACCAAATGGAGAATACCTGGCAATTTCTTCCCAGTAATTAAGGCAAGGCCAGGGGCTCAGCACATCCTGCTCAGTCAGGGGCCTGTATCTTGCTGGGTCTTTTCTGCAGCCTGTCACAGTTGCCAACTGGGGTGGGGAGTGCTGGGTAAACCCTTCAATACGGCTAATGAAAATTTGGTGTGTGTGTTAATGGACTAGATAGATTTCATTCTTTCCTATAGTGATTAAAGCAGCGATAAACATGGGGGTGCCAATATCTCTATGGTAGGGTATGGGGTTCTTTGAGAAATCTTCAAACTGATTTCCACAATGACTTTATATTAGCTTGCACCACTATCAAAAGTTGATTAAGGGTACTTTCTCTCCACATCCTTTCCAACATTGGTTGTCAGATTTATGGACAGCCATTCTGACTGGGGTGAGGTGGTATCTCAAAGTAGGTTTAATTTGCATTTCCTTAATGGCTAAGGATAGTGAACACTTTAAAAATGGTTATTGGTCGTTTTTGTTTGGTTTTCCCCATGCAGACCTCAAACTCAGGTATCCACCTGTCTCAGCCTCCTGAGTGCTGGGATTAAAGGCATGCGCAGTCACCATCACCATTACTACCCTCCAGCCCGTTTTTATTTAAACAGTTTCTCTACGTCCTGGCTGTCCTGGAACTCACTTTGTAGACCATGCTGGCCTTGAACTCACAGAGATCTACCTGCCTGAGTGCTAGGATTAAAGGCATGCGCCACCACGCCCAGCTCATTTGTACTTTTTGATGACTGGCAATTTTGTTTCCTTGGTATTTAATTTAATTTAATTCTTTGTAAATTCTGGCTATCAAGCAGGGCGGTGGTGGCGCACGCCTATAATTCCAGCACTCGGGAGGCAGAGGCAGGTGGATCTCTGTGAGTTCGAGGCCAGCCTGGCCTACAAGAGCTAGTTCCAGGACAGGCCACAGAGAAACCACAGAGAAACCCTGTCTCGAAAAACAAAAAAAAAAAAAAAAAAAAAATTCTGGCTATCAGCCCATTGTCTGAGGTGTAGCTAGTAAAGATCTCTGCTCTTGGCTCTGCCCACTGTTCCCTTGTAAGACTTTAAGACAATCCTGAAGCCATTTTTGACAATTCTGAATCCTCTCAGCCTCTGTGCCATAGTGCTTCCCCTCCTCCCCGGGAACCAAGGACCTAACAGCTACACTCACACGTACTCGGTTCCTGAACAATTACTCATATACGTATGCTTTGGTTCGGTCCCCTGGGAAACGGGGTCAAAATGACCTCTTACCTCATCTGATCTGGCAACAGCTCTCCAGTCAATTATTGGTAATAGCCCTTGCAAATAAGCCAATCAGAATGTTCAAAGAACAACCCCCCCTTGCTTCTGTGGCCCCTTTAAAAGTAGACTGTACCAGCTATTCGAGGTCCCTCGGCTTCCCGAATGCTGGGGGACCCTGTCATGACAGAATTAATAAAATCCTTATGCTTTTGCATCGGCTGTGGTGTATGAGATGGTCTCTGGGGGTGACTCCTTCTCGGTGTTTGGACGCTAGAGTCCAACACCCTTTGATGTACACAAAGTGTTCAATTCCATACAGTTCCATTTGTTGATAGTTTGGGTTAGTTCAGGTAATATATTAAAAAAAGTTCTTTAGGTCAGGCATGATGACACATGCCTTTAATCCCAGCACATGCTGGGGGTCTACAGTGAATTCAAGGACAGGTTCCAAAGCAACAGAGAGAAACACTGCTTCGAAAAACCCAAAACAAAAAAAAAGGGGGAAGAAGGGCTGGAGAGATGGCTCAGAGATTAAGAGCATTGCCTGCTCTTCCAAAGGTCCTGAGTTCAATTCCCAGCAACCACATGGTGGCTCACAACCATCTGTAAAGAGGTCTGGTGCCCTCTTCTGGTCTGCAGACATGCACACAGACAGAATATTGTATACATAATAAATAAATAAATATTAAAAAAAAAGGGAAGAAGAAAAAAGAGAAGAGATGAAGGAGGAGAATAAAGAAAGGAAAAAGAAAGAAAAAAATACAGACCAATTTTTTGATGAACACAGATGCAAAAATTCTTAACAAAATGCTTACAAACTGAATTCAGGTATACACTGAGAAGATTACACATTATAACCAAATGGGCTTCATCCTAGAAAGGCAACATTGTTACAACATACATAAACCAATAAATGGAATACAAACAAACTCAAGGACAGAAATTACATTAATTATTTAAACTGATGTTTAAAACACATTGGACAAGTTCGACAAGTTTTTGTGATAAAAGCTCTGGAGACTGTAGGAACAGATGGAAAACACCTCAAAATAATAAAGGTTATATACCAACATGTTATTATAGCCAACATTATATTAAATGGAGACATACTGAGCATTTCCTCTAAAATCAGGAATGAGATAAGGAAAGTTGCCCACTCTCCTCTACCTGTTTTCTACAGTGTCAAAGTCTTAGCTGTAGCAATTAGACAAGAGACATAAAAGGGGTAATAGGAAGGGGAAAAGCGACACTCTTTTCTGAGACCCACTATGTAGCCCTATGGAACTTGCTATGTAGACCAGGTGGCCTCACACTCATGGAGATCTGCCTGACTATGCCTACTGAGTGCTAGGATCAGAGCTGTGTGCCACCACACCCAGCCCATTTCCTGTTTTTAAGTTTTTGAAGAAAGAGTCTTTTGATGAAGCTCAGACTGTCCTAGAACTCATGGAAATCTTCCTGTCTCGGCTCTCAAGTGTTAGATTACAGGTATGGGCTACCAACCACACTTGGTGACTCACATCGTTTTTATGTTTGTTCATTTTGGCCAGAGAGTTCAGTTTGCCTTTGTTCAACAGTCAGCAATTTCTCTTTTCCTGGTGGTACTGGGGATGGAACCCAAGGCTTTACATATGTTAGGCACATACACCAACACTAAGCCCCATCCCTAGTCCCAATTATCTTATCATCCTGTTCTGGGGTGTTTTGACTCTTTTCAATGTATGCCATAGGCATTTAGGTATTCTTATCTGTGGCCCAGATCTAAGTCAAATACCATTTATTGCATGAATGACTTAAGCTTCAAATATGATTTAGAAGCAATAGTGTCTAATACTCTGACTTCTCTTGTTGATTTTTATCTTACACCATTAAGCAGGAAAAATGTTCAGGATTCTCAACAATAACCTTTTAAAAAAATATAATTACCTAGGGCAAGCAGAGAAACTGCATGAGTCAGAAATAGCTTTTAACCTGCAAGCTAATAATTTAGGACTAAAAGTGACTGGCTTCTTTGGAAATTAGAAGTAACCCATCCCATCTGTGGGCATAAGTCTCCATGTCTCTTCAGTGCATCATCACCTCAGTGACATTCCTGGAGGTCTGCCCTGGATCAAGGATAACGGATGTCCTACTAGAGTTCTCAGCGGGGGCAGCAGTTTTCCCTTACTCAGACAAACTACCAGAAATAAAGTGTGAGGAGGAAAGGTCTATTTTGGTTCACAGTTTTGGAGGTTCTAAGTCATGGCCTAAGCAATCTCTAGCAGGCCGTTAGCTTTCAAAGGTCAAAAATAAGTGCTACTAGCATCATCCTGGGCAAGAATCCTTTAACATATGGATATATGGGCTAGAGAGATGGCTCAGTGGTTAAGAGTGCTTGCTGCTCTTTCAAAGGACCCAAGTTTGGTTCCTTGCATGTAGCTTCAGTTCCCAGGGGACTTAACACTAATGGTCTCTGAAAGCATCTGTACTCATAATTGCACACTCTCACACAGGCACACACATAATATAACTAAAAATACAATGAACCTTAAAAAAAGAAAGATATGGGTCTTTGAAAGCCATTCAAGATCCAAACTCAGGAAGCTGTTCTGAGATGTAGCACTGGAGATTCTATAGTGTTTGTGTGAGGACAGATCTCATCATTTCTTTTTTTTTTTTTTGTTTTTTTTTTGTTTTTTCGAGACAGGGTTTCTCTGCGGCTTTGGAGCCCGTCCTGGAACTAGCTCTGTAGACCAGGCTGGTCTCGAACTCACAGAGATCCGCCTGCCTCTGCCTCCCGAGTGCTGGGATTAAAGGCGTGCGCCACCAACGCCCGGCAGATCTCATCATTTCTATGCTCCAAGAGGGAACTCTGTATTGGATAGGTAATTTAACTTGTCCTGCACCCTGAGCAGGGAAATGAGGCTAAGAAGTGAAGTAGCTCCACCTCAGTCATCTCAGTTCCCACCTGAATTCACAGCTCACATACTGGTTTTGATGTCATCTTCCCACTTTTTAAAATGGGTTTTATTATATTCTAAATTTTGGTAAATAGTCTGGTCTATCAACTCACACCTCTGTTCTTGCTCCTCAAAGGAGGATAGAACAATTGTCTCCTATCTTCTCCATGGCATCCATTGCAGATTGCAACACAACTAGTGACAGCCTGGGGGATGACAGTGGTCCACATGTCAGTCTTCATCCGAGTTACTGGGACCCATGTACTGGCAGATAGCATCATAGTGGAGCTCTACAACCTGGTTCTCTCTCCCAAGTTGCACCAAAGCTTGACTCTGCACGCTGTCCCGACTCAGAAGAAGTCCCACCTGAGGAGGAATGGGGAGAGTCAGCAAAGACAGCCTAGATCCTCAGTGATCTCCAGAGTCATTTCCAGGTGTGGGGACTCACCTTTCCAGCATGTGGTCCCAGCACCACCATCACACGGTGACCCTCTCCCTTGGGAATCAGGGTTTCCAGCATGTTTTCTGTCACGCCTACAGATGAGGTAGAAAGAAATGAGATCGCTGGGCGGTGGTGGCGAACGCCTTTAATCCCAGCACTTGGGAGGCAGAGGCAGGTGGATCTCTGTGAGTTCGAGACCAGCCTGGTCTACTAGAGCTAGTTCCAGGACAGCCAGGGCTATTAAACAGACAAACCCTGTCTTGAAAAAAACAAAAAAAAAACAAAAAATAAAAAAAGAAATTTTTTGGAGGAATTCCTTAAATGTGCAAGACTGAGTATCGTTATGATTTTGTTTTTGTTTTTTGAGACAGGGTCTCTTTGTGTAGCTTTGGAGCCTGTTCTGGAACTGATTCTGTAGACCAGGCTGGCCTTGAATTTACAGAGATCTGCCTGCCTCTGCCTCCCGAGTTCTGGGATTAAAGGTATGGACTACTACCAGCCAGCTTCTTTATGATTTTTAAAAAATGATATATGTATGTATGTATGTGTATATCTGCCCATTAAATAATCTCCTCTCCTCTGTGTGTGTCTTTCTTTTTTCTACTTCTTCCCTCATTCTCTCTCTTTATTGAGATACACTCTCTTTATGTAGTTTGGACTGTCCTGAAAGTCACTGAGTAGGCCCCATGCCCTCTGAGTGCTGGGATTAAAAGCATGCACCACCATTCCTGGCTTTAATTTTGTTTTTTTAAAAAATCTTTTAGAGGGTTGGAGGGATGGCTCAATGGAACAAACACTGCCTGCTCTTTCAAAGAACCCAGGTTCGATCCTCAGCATCCACAGGGCTCTCCCAACTGTCTGTTATTTCAGTCCCAGGGGATCTGATACCCTCTTCTGGCCTCCAGTAGCACTCACTGGATCCGTGTGGTGTACAGATAATACATGCAAGCCGAACATTCATGCAAACAGAATAATAAAATGACTTTACATTTTTTGTGTGTGTGGGGGAGTATACTTGTTACATTGCCTGTGTGAAGGTCAGAAAACAAATTGTCCGAGTCAGTTCTCTCCTTTCATGTGGGTCCTTGTTTTTATTTTGCTCTTTTGCTTTTTGGTTTTGGAGGCAGGATCTCATGTGTGGTTTGAGATTTGATATGTAGCTAAGAATGACCTTGAACTCTAGATCCCCCTTGGTTTTAAGAACTGCTGATATTACAAATGTACAGGTGTGATCCCATAAGACACTACACACTGCATCTTCCAAGCATATATATATTGCTTAACTGTATTTCCATCCAACTGGTCCAGAAATCTTTAGCCAGGAAGAACCTTGAACTTCTGCTCTTCCTGCTTCTGCCTCTCAGTTGCCTAGACTACAGACTTGCCACTAAGGCCAGCAAGACCCTTTTTATCTTTTTTGTTTGTTTCTCTTTTTCTGAGACAGAGTTTCTCTGTGTAACAATTCTGGCTATCCTGGAACTTGTTTTATAGAACAGGCTGACTTTGAACTCACAGACGTCTACCTGCCTCTGCCTCTCCCGTGCTGGGACACACTTTGTCAAAGTCAAGAAACCAGATGCTGGAGAAAAGATTCAGTGGTTATGATGAATGAGTCCATTCAATTCACAGCACCATATGTAGCTCACAACCATCTGATGTCCCCTTCTTTCTTCAATAGGCACCGCACATGTGCACATACACACATACAAATAAAAAAATAAGTCTATTTGGGGCTGAGAGATGACTCAACAGTTAAGAGTACTTGTTCTCCAGAGGACCTGGGTTCTCTTCCCAGAAACCACATGGTGACTTACATCCATCCATAACCCCAGTGCCAGGGGATCTGACCCCCTCTGCTTACTTCTGAAGGCTTCTACCATGCATGTAGTTCACATGCATACATGCAGGCAAAACATTTATACATACACATTTTTAAAAATTTTTCTTGAGCTCTACATTTTTCTCTGCTCTCCTCCCTGCTTCTCCCTTCCCCTTATATCCTCTCCGAAGGGCCCCATGTTCCCAATTTACTCAGGAGATCTTATATTTTTCTACTTCCCATGTAGATTAGGTCCATGTGTGTCTCTCTTAGTGTCCTCATTGTTGTCTAGGTTCTCTTGGGTTGTGATCCTCTGTTGAGAGTTCTTTGTTTAGATCTGTACTCCAATTTTTTTATTGTATTAGTTGTTCTTTTGATAAACAATTTCTTGATTTCTTTGTATATTTTGGAGATCAGCCCTCTGTCTGATGTGGGGTTGGTAATCTTTTCCCATTCCATAAGCTGTTTTGTCTTGTTGACCATGTCCTTTGCTTTACAGAAGCTTTTCAGTTTCAGGAGGTCCCATTTATTAATTGTTTCTCTCAGTGTCTGTGCTGCTGGGGTTATATTTAGGAAGTGGTTCCCTGTGCCAATGCGATCAAGTGTACTTCCCACTTTCTCTTCTTTAAGGCTTAGTGTGCTTAAATTTATGTTGAGGTCTTTGATCCATTTGGACTTGAGTTTTGTGCATGGTGATAAATATGGGTCTATTTTCATTCTTCTACATGATGATATTCAGTTGTGCCAGCACCATTTGTTAAATAGACTTTCTTTTTTCAATTTGATATTTTTTGCTTCTTTGTCAAAAACCAGGTGTTTGGCCGGGCGGTGGTGGCGCACACCTTTAATCCCAGCACTTGGGAGGCAGAGGCAGGTGGATCTCTGTGAGTTCGAGCCTGGTCTACAAGAGCTGGTTCCAGGACAGGCTCCAAAACCACAGAGAAACCCTGTCTCGAAAAACCAAAAAAAAAAAACCAAAAAAACCCCCCCAAAAACCAGGAGTTTGAAGGAGTGTGGATTAATATCCAGGCTTCAATTTGGTTCCATTGGTCCTCCTGTCTGTTCTTATGCCAATACCAGGCTGTTTTCATTACTGTAGCTCTGTAGTAGAGTTTGAAGTCAGGGATTGCAATGCCTCCAGACGTTCTTTTATTGTACAGGATTGTTTGGGCTATCCTGGGTTGTTTTTTTTTTTTTTTGCTTTTCCACATGAAGTTGAGTACCATTCTTTCGAGGTCTGTGAAGAATTTTGTTGGGATTTTGCTGGGCATTGCATTGAATCTGTAAGATTGCCACTTTTACTATGTTAATTCTGTTGGACTCTAGCGTCCAAACACCGAGGAGGAGTCGCCCCCAGAGACCACCTCACACACCACAGCCAATGCAAAAGCATGAGGATTTTATTAATTCTGTCATGACAGGGTCCCCCAGCATTCGGGAAGCCGAGAGACCTCGAATAGCTTGCACAGGCTACTTTTAAAGGAGAAGGCCACAGAAGCAAGGGGGGTTGTGATTGGCTTATTCGAAAGGGCTATTACCAATAATTGGCTGGAGAGCTGTTGCCAGATCAGATGAGGTAAGAGGTCATTTTGACCCCGTTTCCCAGGGGACCGAACCAAAGCATACGTATATGGGTAATTGTTCAGGAACTGAGTACGTGTGAGTATAGCTGTCAGGTCCTTGGTTCCCGGGGAGGAGGGGAAGCACTATGGCACAGAGGCTGAGAGGACTCAGAATTGTCAAAAATGGCTTCAGGATTGTCTTAAAGTCTTACAATTCTACCAACTACCAACCCAAGAGCATGGGAGATCTTTCCACTTTCTGGCATCTTCTTCAATTTCTTTCTTTCTTTCTTTCTTTCTTTTTTTTTTTTTTTGGTTTTTCGAGACAGGGTTTCTCTGAAGCTTTGGAGCCTGTCCTGGAACTAGCTCTGTAGACCAGGCTGGTCTCGAACTCACAGAGATCCACCTGCCTCTGCCTCCCGAGTGCTGGGATTAAAGACGTATGCCACCATCGCCTGGCCTTCAATTTCTTTCTTCAAAGATTTCTCTTTACCACTGTTCTATATCATCAGCCCTTTTTAAAAATGATTTATTTAGGGGTATTGAGATGGTTCAGCACGTGTGGGCACTTGCCACCAAGTCTGACAATGACCTCTACAAGCACACCAAGGTACACATACCCCCTCCCCAAATATACACAAAATAAATCAATGTAAAACTTTATTCTTTTTTGGGACAGGATCATGCTGTGTAGTCTTGGATGGTCTGATTATTAGATAGTGCAGGCTGGGCTTGAACTCCTAGCAGTCCTTCCTCTGCCCCCTGAGTGCTAGGATTACAGGTGCGAGCCACTATGTATTATTTCCTTCTGTCCATTCATCCTTTTTTCTCAGTGTGTGTGGGGGAGGGGTGTCAAGACAGGGTTTCTCTGTAGCTTTTGGAGCCTGTCCTGGAACTCACTTTGTAGATCAGGCTGGCCTTGAACTCACAGAGATTCACTCGACTCTGCCTCTGAATGCTGGGATTAAAAGCATGTGCTACCACTGCCCGGCCACTCATCCATCCATTTTTATGCCTTTAATTTCTCCAGAGTAGGCCTTGGCACAGGGTGCTAGAAATGACACTAGTTTTTCTTTTTATGCCCTCACCTGTACCTGCAGGGGTCTTGCACTAGCCTCCCTTTGTGCCCTTGATACACTCCTGTGCCCGTCCCTTCCTGCTTTTACAGCCATGTGTGACACAGATCCTCAGAGGGTGTTTGGAGGTGTTTTTATTTCTGTGAATGTTTTGTTTGCATGTAGACCTGTACCAAGCGCTGGCAGAGCTCGCGGAGTTAAGAAGAGGGGTGTTAGAACTCTGGCAGTTCAAGGCCACTTGTCTACAAGTGAGTTCGAGAACAGTCAGGGATACATACTGAGACTTTGTGTCAAACAAAAACAACAACAAAACTATTTTAAATCATTAAATAAAGTAATTAAACTGATACGAAGGAGCCCAAGCTGGTGGGGCCCTTGCCTATGGATTCGTGGCCTACTGTACAGAAAGAGAGAAGTCTGACAGTAGAAAGTGTTTGCTTAAATTGAAGTGTGATGTCTTCTCCCTCAAACCTGTTTAAAGGCAAATGATTAATAAATTAAATTGAGCTGGACATGATGACCCATGCCTTTAATTTTAGAACTCAGAGTCAGAAGAAGGTGAGTCTCTGGAGGTTCCAAGCCAGCCTGGTCTACATAAGTAATCAGTCAGACATACGAACATACAAATGAGACCTTAGCGCTCTCTCTCTCTCTCTCTCTCTCTCTCTCTCTCTCTCTCTCTCTCTCTCTCTCTCTATATATATATATATATATATATATATATATATATATATATATGTATATACATATATATACACACACATATATATGTATACACACACACACACATATATATACATACATACATACACACACATATATAGTTTTTTCGGAGCCTGTCCTGGAACTTGTTCCATAGACCAGGCTGGCCTTGAACTCTGAGATCCACCTGTCACTGCCTGGAGCTGGGGTTAAAGGTGTGCACCACCACTGCCCGGCCTTCAAAAAATATTTTAAAAAGGTAAAGACAATCCAAGGGCCTCCTCTACCTCCTGGTTCCTATTTTAGCGAACATCTATTTACTTATCTATTACTTATACCATTAATAATATTGAGAAATTAAGGTTGTGTTTTTTTTTTGTTTGTTTGTTTGTTTTACCCAGGAACTCGTGACAATCTTCTGCCTCAGCCTCCCAAGCGTTAAATCACCCCAGGTGAACAAAACTTCTGACAATCCTCTATCATTGAAACTTGAAAACAGCAGTTCTGAACCTGTGGGTTACACCCCATTTGACAAGCCTCTGTCTCCAGAACGATTTGCATTACGATTCCTAATGGTAGCAAAATGACGTAATGAAGAAGCAAGGAAACTGATTTTATGGTGGGGGGGGTCACCACAGCACGAGGAACTGGATCAAAGGGGCGCAGTTAGGAAGCTTGAGAGCCACTGCAGGGAAGACTACACTAGGATAACCTAAGGCCTCACCTCCTAGGCTTTTGTCCTGAAGTATACCCACTTGGCCCCACCTAGGAACCTAACAGACAATCACGGGCCCTCGGCTCCCAAATATCGGCTCTCTGCCTGCCCAGGCCCATGGGAGGCTAAGGCTCCCCCAGTAAATGGGCAGGGTTTCTTGGTTTCGTTTTGCCGCGCAGGCGCAATGTGTTGCAACAAGCTACAGAAGCAACCCCTTGGCCTCCTCTACCACCGGCAGAGGGCGTGTATCCAGTAGCTCCTGGAGCTATAGGAGTTTGAGCTTGTGCAGGACAATTTAGCCTTGGACCCAAACGTGGGGAGAACACTCACGATTCCTCAGTCAGAAGATCTAAAGAATCCCCTCAAGATAGCACGAGCGGCTGAGCATGATGTCTCATGCTTATAATTCTAGCACAGCAGGCAGAGAGGCAATAGGATTGCCACAGGTTCCAGGCCATCCTGGTCCACATTCACGTAGCTAGTCAGGGATAAACGGTGAGACCCTGTCTTAGAAGAAAAAAAAATATCTCAGGGAGGCAAGAGGATTGTCACAACTTCCAGGCCATCCTGGTCCACATTCACGTAGCTAGCCAGGGATCACAGTGAGACCCTGTCTCAGAAGAAAAAAAATATCTCAGGGAAGCTGGGCATGGTGGCTCAAGCTGCAATTTCAGCATTTTGGAGGCAGAGACCAAGGACTGAGAGTTCAAGGCCAGGCTCAGTTATACAGGAAGGCTGAGATAAGCCTAGATTTCATGAGACCTTGTTTCAGAAGACTGTGTTGGGCTGTAGAAATGACTCAGTAGTTAAGAGCACTGGCCACTCTTCCAGAGGGCTCGAGTGTCGGTCCCAGTACCAAGGAATCTCCCAACTCTCTAACTCCAGTTCCAGGGGATCCAATGGCCTTTTCTGGCGCCAGGCATAAAGTTGTGCACAGACATACATACAAGCAAAGCAGCCATGCGCATTAAAAAATAAAATTAGTTCCAGGACATGATCCAAAGCTACAGAGAAACTCTGTCTAAAAAAGCCAGATTATGACAACAATAATAATATAAAATTAAAAAAAATTAAAATGGGTAATGGATATGCATTGGTGGGTAAAGTGCTTGATGCGCAGGTATTAGGACCTGAGTTCAGAACCCCAGCATGCATGTAAAATCTGGGCAGAGTGGTATATCTCTAATCTCAGCAGTGGGAGCTGGCAGGGGTGACAGAAGGATCCCAGGGGCTCAGTAGCCCACCATTTAGCCAAAGTGGCAAACTCTAGTCCAGTGAGAGATCCCGTCTCAACCACAATAGAGAGCCAGGTATGGGCTAGACTTTAGACTCTGGAAACAGGTAGACAGACCTCCGAGTTTTGAGGCCATTCAGGGCTGCCTAGTAGGACCCTGCCTCAAGCAAAGCAAAACTATGTACGGGGGCTGGAGAGATGGCTTAATGGTTAAGAGCATTGGCTGCTCTTCCAGAGGATCCAGGTTCTGTCCCCAGTCCCCACATGGCTGCTCACAACTGTATTTCCAGTCTCAGCACATCTGATGTCCTCTTCTGGTCTCTGAGGACTCTGCATGCATGTGATATTCAGACATAGATGCAGGCAGAACACCCATATACACAAAATAATAATACATTTCTTTTGGTTTTTCGAGACAGGGATTCTCTGTGGCTTTAACGCCTGTCCTGGAACTTGCTGTGCAGACCAGGGTGGCCTTGAACTCGCAGAGAATGGCCTGCCTTTGCCTCCTGTGTGCTGGGATTAGAAGTGTGTACCACCACACCCTGGCTGAGATGGCTCAGTCTTTAGAGCATTGGCTGTTCTTCCAACAGACATGGGTTGGATTTCCAGAACCCACAGATCCTGTTGAACCCCACCTTGGGGGAAAAATGAGAGGCCCAGTAGAATATGTCCATGTGAGCCCATCAATAAATTCTAATGAGCTGGGCGGTGGTGGCGCACGCCTTTAATTCCAGCACTCAGGAAGCAGAGACAGGAGGATCTCCGTGAATTCGAAGCCAGCCTGGTCTACAGAGGGAGTTCCAGGACAGGCTTCAAAGCTACTAGAAACTCTGTCTTGAAAAATCAAATGAAGAAAGAACTTCTAATAGGCTTTGTTTTAGACATATTCCCATATTCTGCCTTTCCCTCCTTACCTGCTTGTCCTAACTCTGGCCTTTATCCTCCTTGCATGCCTCGACAGCAGTTAAGAACTTCCTTTCCTCCCTACAGCTGGTAGTTGGTAACCTTTGGATAGTCCCTCTGGGCTGGTACTCCCCAAATGCCACACCTGACACTGAAAATTCATATGGAGCAAGCCAGACCGGCCATCACCCCAATCCCATAATGGCAATTAGGGACACCTCTTGAGAGGGGGGTAGACATTGGCCAGACAGTTTAAAGTAAAAAGGCCCCAAGGAAAAGCATATAGTTTCTTTTCTTTTTTGGCTAAAACCCAAAAATGTCTGGGCACCAAAGTGTTTTGGGAAACCTGATCTTGAATCTGGCTCCTAAACAATTCTAGAGTGACCCTTCCAGAGAGGAGAATAGTGAAATAAAGACTTTGCAAAGACAAATTTCTTTCTAGTCAAGAGAATAAAATTTTTGAACAGGGTGAAAACCTTATATTCCAGTTGGGCCTGTTCAATAGCTTTGTCAAGAAACTACCCTTTGGAAGGTATCCTGACTGTAAGTCAGTGGTTTCTTTACAGCCTAAGGGCCTTGACCTAACAGGGGTTGCCTATAAACATTGGAAAACAGATATTTACATTGCAGTTCACAACAGTAGCAAAATGACAGGAAGTAGCAACGAAAATAATTTTATGGTGTTTTGGGGGTCCCCACAACATGAGGTATTAAAGGGTCGCTGCAGGAGGAAAGTTGAGCAGCCCTGCTGAAAGCCATGTTTAGGCCATCACTCATAACAGTAATGTACTGCTGAAAGACTTTGGGGCACCTCAGCATTACTGCACCCCTTTCCTGGGAACCAACCACGCATACACTGGAGCTTTGAGTGCTTTCCATCCCCATTGTAGTCTTTCTTCAATAGACCTGGACCTGGAACTGGGGTGAGACGACCTGCAGGTGTTCCTCCTTGTAATCGCCATAACATTGATCAAGTAGAGTTAGCTGACCGTTGAATGAACTAGTCAAAATAGTTGACAAATGATTTTTGGACTTTCCCTTTGATTCTGTACTACCCCCTCCCTGATTTTGTGGTTTTTCCTTTAAAAGAGCTTGTAATAGACAAAGCAGGAGTCCTTCCTTCTCCTCTCGAGGCTGAGGGACCTCTGCCGTGGCAGAATAAAAATTCCTCGTGCTATTGCATCAACCGTGCTGAGAGTGTCTCTTGGGGCGACCTCCTGCTTGGTGGGGCTTTAGGGCCCAACACTGCTACTAGAGCCTCCAAATGATCTATGTATGCTTTCTAAGTTTGAAATAAAAAATCATAATAAAAGAAGAAATAATGAGAAAAGTTTGTTTTTTTAAATCAAAAGCAGTCAGTCCAGCAATGACTTGTATTCCCCTAATTTCCCCATTCCCCCTTGCTTTGATTAGCCAATCGTGTCAGATTGTGAAGTTAAGTTCCCACCAATGGGTATAATGCAATGCAGCCAACACCTCCACCTACAAAAAAAATAGCCATGTTTGCCCAGGTGTGCGTTCTAGCACTTCTTTTGCCACCCTCTCCTCCAAGAACTAACTTACCTAGCTACTTTATTTTTCCCTTTGAGTGTTCTTTTGTGCAAGGCGAGATTATTTATTGCCTGTTAATAACACCATGCATACCTATTTGGCTTGTTTTTTTTTTTCTCGAGACAGGGTTTCTCTGTGTACCTTTGGAGCCTATCCTGGCACTAGCTCTTTAGACAAGGCTGGTCTTGAACTCACGGAGATACGCCACCACTCTGAGATTAAAGGCGTGTGCCACCACTGTCTGGCGGAACCATGTAGATCAGAATGATCTGGAACTTAAAAATCAGCCTGTTTCTGCTTCCCTAGTGCTGGGATTAAAGGGGCGCACTAACATGCACAACAGCATTGATAAATTTTAAACTGTAGTATGATGAAAGCGCCAGGCCTGGTGTGTGATCTCACTAATCTTTGACAGTAAAAACAAGCATCCTCTGCTGACTTTTGACCCGCGATCAATTTTATTTTATAATTTTTGTTTTTTGAGGCAGGGTTTCTCTGCTTAATAGCCCTGGCTGTCCTGGAACTCGCTCTGTAGAGCAGGCTGGCTTTGAACTCAACAGAGATCCGCCTGCCTCTGCTTTACGAGTGCTGGGATTAAAGGCGTGCGCCACCACCGCCCGGCCACGAGCAGTTTTAAACACTGAGGTGGTATTTGAACCAGCGACTTAAGGTTCTTAAACCTGGGTTTTGGAAGGATGCCTAGCTACAGGTCACAACCACTGCGCATGTCTAGAAGCAGTTCCGGGAACCCGGAGCAAGGGTGGGGGTGGAGCTACATTATTCCCAGGACCCCGCAGCCGCAGAAAGCAGCCGACCCGGGGTCGCAGGAAAGGCCGACCTCGAGCCCGGCCGGCAACCAATCAGAGCCCACCAGGGCAGCGCCTCAGCCAATGGCCTGAGCGAGGGCCTTGGGAGCGGGTTCCAAATGGTTCGAGGGGTCACAGGAAAGCGGCGAACGTGGCCGGCGACCAATCAGAGCCAAGCGGGGCAGCGCCTCAGCCAATGGCCTGCGCGAGGGCCTCGGGAGCGGGTTCCGAATGGTTCGAGGGGTCGCAGGAAATCTGCGAACGTGACCGGCGACCAATCAGAGCCAAGCGGGGCAGCGCCTCAGTCAATGGCCTGCGCGAGGGCCTTAGGAGCGGGTTCCAAATGGTTCGAGGGGTCGCAGGAAAGCGGGCGAACGTGCCGGGTGGGATAGCGGCGTCCCGCTGGCCCGATAGTTCCATCCGCCAGCGCAGCGTGGCGGGAAGCACGCCCAGACGGGGTTTTGGGGTGAGCGGATGGTGGCCGTCTGCGGCCGAGATGCCGCTTCCCTGTTTGCCCCGCTCCTCCGCCATGGACAAGTGGAACGTCCCAAGATGGCCGCGCCCTGCAGGGGCTCGAGCCGGGCGGCGGCTCCCGAGTTCCCCCCACGCCCGACATCCATGTGGTTCAGCCCAGGCCGCCGCGATCCGCGGCTCAGATGGTCCCCTCCGGTCACACGCAGTGGTTTGGGCCGAGCTAGCGTCACAGGGCTTGGGAGTGGCTACTTCCCTGAGCACCAGGTCTTAGGGTGGGTGCGGTCCTGAGACTGCAAATATTTGAAAGGGAACACGTTGTGGAGTGACCTGGTTTTCACTTTTGAGATAGAGTCGTACACTCTATATTGTCCACACTGGCTTCTAACATCCTGTGTTGGCCAGTTTGACCTAAAACTCGAGGAGATCCTCCTGCTACCCTGCTGAACACTGCGGTTATAGGAGTGATTGACAGGGTGGGGAGGGGCTTGGGAAAATACCGAACGTTACACAGATATTTCATAAAAGTAACTTTCGTGAGCCCGGCATAGTGGCACACTCCTTTAATACCAGACTCAGGGGAGAGGGGCAGAGGCAGGCGGATATCTGAGTTTGAGGACATAATGGTTTACAAACTGAGTTCTAGGACAGCTAGGGCTACGAAATGAGACCCTGTCTTGAGTCCTCGCCAAAAACAAACAAACAAACAACAACAAAACAAAAAAACAAATAACAAAAATAGTAACAATAGGGGCTGGAGAGATGGCTCAGCACTTAAGAGCACTGGCTGCTCTTCAAAGGACTGGGCTCATCCCTAGCAGCCACAAGGTGGCTCACAACTCTCTGGAACTCCAGTTCCAGGAGAGCACTCCCCTGGTCTCTGCAGACACCAGGCACTCATGTAGGGCAGAGACATAGAGGCAAGCAAAATACCTAGAGATTTAAGAGAAATAAAACCCACCAACAATTAGCTTCATATCTTTTTTCATAATTCATGTCCATTCCCTGCATTCAGTCCTTCCCCATTCCCTTATACTTAGTCTTTCTTGTTCTTTTCTTTGCTATACTGTGTCCCATGTAAACATTTGCTTACATATATACATATATTATTGGCTACATTCCAAATATAACAGGCATTTTTCTGAGAATAAAATACATTCTAAGTTCATCCATTTTCCTGCGAGTTTTTGTTTAACTTTTTTTTTTTTTAGCACTGAATAACATTCCATTGTTTTAAATATATTGTTGGGATTCTGGAACCCCAAAACCACCAAGAGACCACATCCAATGCAAAAGCAAAGTCTTTTTTTATTACAAGTTAAATGGGGTCCATCTGTCCGTTGGTCCACCCGCTGGTCCGATGGAGGAGGGACCCCCCAAGAGCAGCAGTGGGGCAGGGGGATAGAGCAAAGGGGGGATGGTCTGGGAGTCTTCAAGTTGCACGGACAGTCTGGGATAGGCACACCTCCAGGCTGGGGGAACCTGTCCTGAGGTAATTGGTCAGCTGCAGCTGGGGAAAGGTTGCTATACCTGGAAGCCATGGGGGAGCGGTTACTGCATTCCACCATTAACAGTAAAGCACATCCAGAGCCCGCCAGCGCCAGCTCACTTCTGATTGCTTCCTTACCAAATGGAGAATACCTGGCAATTTCTTCCCAGTAATTAAGGCAAGGCCAGGGGCTCAGCACATCCTGCTCAGTCAGGGGCCTGTATCTTGCTGGGTCTTTTCTGCAGCCTGTCACAGTTGCCAACTGGGGTGGGGAGTGCTGGGTAAACCCTTCAATACGGCTAATGAAAATTTGGTGTGTGTGTTAATGGACTAGATAGATTTCATTCTTTCCTATAGTGATTAAAGCAGCGATAAACATGGGGGTGCCAATATCTCTATGGTAGGGTATGGGGTTCTTTGAGAAATCTTCAAACTGATTTCCACAATGACTTTATATTAGCTTGCACCACTATCAAAAGTTGATTAAGGGTACTTTCTCTCCACATCCTTTCCAACATTGGTTGTCAGATTTATGGACAGCCATTCTGACTGGGGTGAGGTGGTATCTCAAAGTAGGTTTAATTTGCATTTCCTTAATGGCTAAGGATAGTGAACACTTTAAAAATGGTTATTGGTCGTTTTTGTTTGGTTTTCCCCATGCAGACCTCAAACTCAGGTATCCACCTGTCTCAGCCTCCTGAGTGCTGGGATTAAAGGCATGCGCAGTCACCATCACCATTACTACCCTCCAGCCCGTTTTTATTTAAACAGTTTCTCTACGTCCTGGCTGTCCTGGACCCACGCCCAGCTCATTTGTACTTTTTGATGACTGGCAATTTTGTTTCCTTGGTATTTAATTTAATTTAATTCTTTGTAAATTCTGGCTATCAAGCAGGGCGGTGGTGGCGCACGCCTATAATTCCAGCACTCGGGAGGCAGAGGCAGGTGGATCTCTGTGAGTTCGAGGCCAGCCTGGCCTACAAGAGCTAGTTCCAGGACAGGCCACAGAGAAACCACAGAGAAACCCTGTCTCGAAAAACCAAAAAAAAAAAAAAAAAAAAAAAAAATTCTGGCTATCAGCCCATTGTCTGAGGTGTAGCTAGTAAAGATCTCTGCTCTTGGCTCTGCCCACTGTTCCCTTGTAAGACTTTAAGACAATCCTGAAGCCATTTTTGACAATTCTGAATCCTCTCAGCCTCTGTGCCATAGTGCTTCCCCTCCTCCCTGGGAACCAAGGACCTAACAGCTACACTCACACGTACTCGGTTCCTGAACAATTACTCATATACGTATGCTTTGGTTCGGTCCCCTGGGAAACGGGGTCAAAATGACCTCTTACCTCATCTGATCTGGCAACAGCTCTCCAGTCAATTATTGGTAATAGCCCTTGCAAATAAGCCAATCAGAATGTTCAAAGAACAACCCCCCTTGCTTCTGTGGCCCCTTTAAAAGTAGACTGTACCAGCTATTCCAGGTCCCTCGGCTTCCCGAATGCTGGGGGACCCTGTCATGACAGAATTAATAAAATCCTTATGCTTTTGCATCGGCTGTGGTGTATGAGATGGTCTCTGGGGGTGACTCCTTCTCGGTGTTTGGACGCTAGAGTCCAACACCCTTTGATGTACACAAAGTGTTCAATTCCATACAGTTCCATTTGTTGATAGTTTGGGTTAGTTCAGGTAATATATTAAAAAAAGTTCTTTAGGTCAGGCATGATGACACATGCCTTTAATCCCAGCACATGCTGGGGGTCTACAGTGAATTCAAGGACAGGTTCCAAAGCAACAGAGAGAAACACTGCTTCGAAAAACCCAAAACAAAAAAAAAGGGGGAAGAAGGGCTGGAGAGATGGCTCAGAGATTAAGAGCATTGCCTGCTCTTCCAAAGGTCCTGAGTTCAATTCCCAGCAACCACATGGTGGCTCACAACCATCTGTAAAGAGGTCTGGTGCCCTCTTCTGGTCTGCAGACATGCACACAGACAGAATATTGTATACATAATAAATAAATAAATATTAAAAAAAAGGGAAGAAGAAAAAAGAGAAGAGATGAAGGAGGAGAATAAAGAAAGGAAAAAGAAAGAAAAAAATACAGACCAATTTTTTGATGAACACAGATGCAAAAATTCTTAACAAAATGCTTACAAACTGAATTCAGGTATACACTGAGAAGATTACACATTATAACCAAATGGGCTTCATCCTAGAAAGGCAACATTGTTACAACATACATAAACCAATAAATGGAATACAAACAAACTCAAGGACAGAAATTACATTAATTATTTAAACTGATGTTTAAAACACATTGGACAAGTTCGACAAGTTTTTGTGATAAAAGCTCTGGAGACTGTAGGAACAGATGGAAAACACCTCAAAATAATAAAGGTTATATACCAACATGTTATTATAGCCAACATTATATTAAATGGAGACATACTGAGCATTTCCTCTAAAATCAGGAATGAGATAAGGAAAGTTGCCCACTCTCCTCTACCTGTTTTCTACAGTGTCAAAGTCTTAGCTGTAGCAATTAGACAAGAGACATAAAAGGGGTAATAGGAAGGGGAAAAGCGACACTCTTTTCTGAGACCCACTATGTAGCCCTATGGAACTTGCTATGTAGACCAGGTGGCCTCACACTCATGGAGATCTGCCTGACTATGCCTACTGAGTGCTAGGATCAGAGCTGTGTGCCACCACACCCAGCCCATTTCCTGTTTTTAAGTTTTTGAAGAAAGAGTCTTTTGATGAAGCTCAGACTGTCCTAGAACTCATGGAAATCTTCCTGTCTCGGCTCTCAAGTGTTAGATTACAGGTATGGGCTACCAACCACACTTGGTGACTCACATCGTTTTTATGTTTGTTCATTTTGGCCAGAGAGTTCAGTTTGCCTTTGTTCAACAGTCAGCAATTTCTCTTTTCCTGGTGGTACTGGGGATGGAACCCAAGGCTTTACATATGTTAGGCACATACACCAACACTAAGCCCCATCCCTAGTCCCAATTATCTTATCATCCTGTTCTGGGGTGTTTTGACTCTTTTCAATGTATGCCATAGGCATTTAGGTATTCTTATCTGTGGCCCAGATCTAAGTCAAATACCATTTATTGCATGAATGACTTAAGCTTCAAATATGATTGAGAAGCAATAGTGTCTAATACTCTGACTTCTCTTGTTGATTTTTATCTTACACCATTAAGCAGGAAAAATGTTCAGGATTCTCAACAATAACCTTTTAAAAAAATATAATTACCTAGGGCAAGCAGAGAAACTGCATGAGTCAGAAATAGCTTTTAACCTGCAAGCTAATAATTTAGGACTAAAAGTGACTGGCTTCTTTGGAAATTAGAAGTAACCCATCCCATCTGTGGGCATAAGTCTCCATGTCTCTTCAGTGCATCATCACCTCAGTGACATTCCTGGAGGTCTGCCCTGGATCAAGGATAACGGATGTCCTACTAGAGTTCTCAGCGGGGGCAGCAGTTTTCCCTTACTCAGACAAACTACCAGAAATAAAGTGTGAGGAGGAAAGGTCTATTTTGGTTCACAGTTTTGGAGGTTCTAAGTCATGGCCTAAGCAATCTCTAGCAGGCCGTTAGCTTTCAAAGGTCAAAAATAAGTGCTACTAGCATCATCCTGGGCAAGAATCCTTTAACATATGGATATATGGGCTAGAGAGATGGCTCAGTGGTTAAGAGTGCTTGCTGCTCTTTCAAAGGACCCAAGTTTGGTTCCTTGCATGTAGCTTCAGTTCCCAGGGGACTTAACACTAATGGTCTCTGAAAGCATCTGTACTCATAATTGCACACTCTCACACAGGCACACACATAATATAACTAAAAATACAATGAACCTTAAAAAAAGAAAGATATGGGTCTTTGAAAGCCATTCAAGATCCAAACTCAGGAAGCTGTTCTGAGATGTAGCACTGGAGATTCTATAGTGTTTGTGTGAGGACAGATCTCATCATTTCTTTTTTTGTTTTTTTTTGTTTTTTCGAGACAGGGTTTCTCTGCGGCTTTGGAGCCCGTCCTGGAACTAGCTCTGTAGACCAGGCTGGTCTCGAACTCACAGAGATCCGCCTGCCTCTGCCTCCCGAGTGCTGGGATTAAAGGCGTGCGCCACCAACGCCCGGCAGATCTCATCATTTCTATGCTCCAAGAGGGAACTCTGTATTGGATAGGTAATTTAACTTGTCCTGCACCCTGAGCAGGGAAATGAGGCTAAGAAGTGAAGTAGCTCCACCTCAGTCATCTCAGTTCCCACCTGAATTCACAGCTCACATACTGGTTTTGATGTCATCTTCCCACTTTTTAAAATGGGTTTTATTATATTCTAAATTTTGGTAAATAGTCTGGTCTATCAACTCACACCTCTGTTCTTGCTCCTCAAAGGAGGATAGAACAATTGTCTCCTATCTTCTCCATGGCATCCATTGCAGATTGCAACACAACTAGTGACAGCCTGGGGGATGACAGTGGTCCACATGTCAGTCTTCATCCGAGTTACTGGGACCCATGTACTGGCAGATAGCATCATAGTGGAGCTCTACAACCTGGTTCTCTCTCCCAAGTTGCACCAAAGCTTGACTCTGCACGCTGTCCCGACTCAGAAGAAGTCCCACCTGAGGAGGAATGGGGAGAGTCAGCAAAGGCAGCCTAGATCCTCAGTGATCTCCAGAGTCATTTCCAGGTGTGGGGACTCACCTTTCCAGCATGTGGTCCCAGCACCACCATCACACGGTGACCCTCTCCCTTGGGAATCAGGGTTTCCAGCATGTTTTCTGTCACGCCTACAGATGAGGTAGAAAGAAATGAGATCGCTGGGCGGTGGTGGCGAACGCCTTTAATCCCAGCACTTGGGAGGCAGAGGCAGGTGGATCTCTGTGAGTTCGAGACCAGCCTGGTCTACTAGAGCTAGTTCCAGGACAGCCAGGGCTATTAAACAGACAAACCCTGTCTTGAAAAAAACAAAACAAAAAAAACAAAAAATAAAAAAAGAAATTTTTTGGAGGAATTCCTTAAATGTGCAAGACTGAGTATCGTTATGATTTTGTTTTTGTTTTTTGAGACAGGGTCTCTTTGTGTAGCTTTGGAGCCTGTTCTGGAACTGATTCTGTAGACCAGGCTGGCCTTGAATTTACAGAGATCTGCCTGCCTCTGCCTCCCGAGTTCTGGGATTAAAGGTATGGACTACTACCAGCAGCTTCTTTATGATTTTTAAAAAATGATATATGTATGTATGTATGTGTATATCTGCCCATTAAATAATCTCCTCTCCTCTGTGTGTGTCTTTCTTTTTTCTACTTCTTCCCTCATTCTCTCTCTTTATTGAGATACACTCTCTTTATGTAGTTTGGACTGTCCTGAAAGTCACTGAGTAGGCCCCATGCCCTCTGAGTGCTGGGATTAAAAGCATGCACCACCATTCCTGGCTTTAATTTTGTTTTTTTAAAAAATCTTTTAGAGGGTTGGAGGGATGGCTCAATGGAACAAACACTGCCTGCTCTTTCAAAGAACCCAGGTTCGATCCTCAGCATCCACAGGGCTCTCCCAACTGTCTGTTATTTCAGTCCCAGGGGATCTGATACCCTCTTCTGGCCTCCAGTAGCACTCACTGGATCCGTGTGGTGTACAGATAATACATGCAAGCCGAACATTCATGCAAACAGAATAATAAAATGACTTTACATTTTTTGTGTGTGTGGGGGAGTATACTTGTTACATTGCCTGTGTGAAGGTCAGAAAACAAATTGTCCGAGTCAGTTCTCTCCTTTCATGTGGGTCCTTGTTTTTATTTTGCTCTTTTGCTTTTTGGTTTTGGAGGCAGGATCTCATGTGTGGTTTGAGATTTGATATGTAGCTAAGGATGACCTTGAACTCTAGATCCCCCTTGGTTTTAAGAACTGCTGATATTACAAATGTACAGGTGTGATCCCATAAGACACTACACACTGCATCTTCCAAGCATATATATATTGCTTAACTGTATTTCCATCCAACTGGTCCAGAAATCTTTAGCCAGGAAGAACCTTGAACTTCTGCTCTTCCTGCTTCTGCCTCTCAGTTGCCTAGACTACAGACTTGCCACTAAGGCCAGCAAGACCCTTTTTATCTTTTTTGTTTGTTTCTCTTTTTCTGAGACAGAGTTTCTCTGTGTAACAATTCTGGCTATCCTGGAACTTGTTTTATAGAACAGGCTGACTTTGAACTCACAGACGTCTACCTGCCTCTGCCTCTCCCGTGCTGGGACACACTTTGTCAAAGTCAAGAAACCAGATGCTGGAGAAAAGATTCAGTGGTTATGATGAATGAGTCCATTCAATTCACAGCACCATATGTAGCTCACAACCATCTGATGTCCCCTTCTTTCTTCAATAGGCACCGCACATGTGCACATACACACATACAAATAAAAAAATAAGTCTATTTGGGGCTGAGAGATGACTCAACAGTTAAGAGTACTTGTTCTCCAGAGGACCTGGGTTCTCTTCCCAGAAACCACATGGTGACTTACATCCATCCATAACCCCAGTGCCAGGGGATCTGACCCCCTCTGCTTACTTCTGAAGGCTTCTACCATGCATGTAGTTCACATGCATACATGCAGGCAAAACATTTATACATACACATTTTTAAAAATTTTTCTTGAGCTCTACATTTTTCTCTGCTCTCCTCCCTGCTTCTCCCTTCCCCTTATATCCTCTCCGAAGGGCCCCATGTTCCCAATTTACTCAGGAGATCTTATATTTTTCTACTTCCCATGTAGATTAGGTCCATGTGTGTCTCTCTTAGTGTCCTCATTGTTGTCTAGGTTCTCTTGGGTTGTGATCCTCTGTTGAGAGTTCTTTGTTTAGATCTGTACTCCAATTTTTTTATTGTATTAGTTGTTCTTTTGATAAACAATTTCTTGATTTCTTTGTATATTTTGGAGATCAGCCCTCTGTCTGATGTGGGGTTGGTAATCTTTTCCCATTCCATAAGCTGTTTTGTCTTGTTGACCATGTCCTTTGCTTTACAGAAGCTTTTCAGTTTCAGGAGGTCCCATTTATTAATTGTTTCTCTCAGTGTCTGTGCTGCTGGGGTTATATTTAGGAAGTGGTTCCCTGTGCCAATGCGATCAAGTGTACTTCCCACTTTCTCTTCTTTAAGGCTTAGTGTGCTTAAATTTATGTTGAGGTCTTTGATCCATTTGGACTTGAGTTTTGTGCATGGTGATAAATATGGGTCTATTTTCATTCTTCTACATGATGATATTCAGTTGTGCCAGCACCATTTGTTAAATAGACTTTCTTTTTTCAATTTGATATTTTTTGCTTCTTTGTCAAAAACCAGGTGTTTGGCCGGGCGGTGGTGGCGCACACCTTTAATCCCAGCACTTGGGAGGCAGAGGCAGGTGGATCTCTGTGAGTTCGAGCCTGGTCTACAAGAGCTGGTTCCAGGACAGGCTCCAAAACCACAGAGAAACCCTGTCTCGAAAAACCAAAAAAAAAAAAACCAAAAAAACCCCCCCAAAAACCAGGAGTTTGAAGGAGTGTGGATTAATATCCAGGCTTCAATTTGGTTCCATTGGTCCTCCTGTCTGTTCTTATGCCAATACCAGGCTGTTTTCATTACTGTAGCTCTGTAGTAGAGTTTGAAGTCAGGGATTGCAATGCCTCCAGACGTTCTTTTATTGTACAGGATTGTTTGGGCTATCCTGGGTTGTTTTTTTTTTTTTTTTGCTTTTCCACATGAAGTTGAGTACCATTCTTTCGAGGTCTGTGAAGAATTTTGTTGGGATTTTGCTGGGCATTGCATTGAATCTGTAAGATTGCCACTTTTACTATGTTAATTCTGTTGGACTCTAGCGTCCAAACACCGAGGAGGAGTCGCCCCCAGAGACCACCTCACACACCACAGCCAATGCAAAAGCATGAGGATTTTATTAATTCTGTCATGACAGGGTCCCCCAGCATTCGGGAAGCCGAGAGACCTCGAATAGCTTGCACAGGCTACTTTTAAAGGAGAAGGCCACAGAAGCAAGGGGGGTTGTGATTGGCTTATTCGAAAGGGCTATTACCAATAATTGGCTGGAGAGCTGTTGCCAGATCAGATGAGGTAAGAGGTCATTTTGACCCCGTTTCCCAGGGGACCGAACCAAAGCATACGTATATGGGTAATTGTTCAGGAACTGAGTACGTGTGAGTATAGCTGTCAGGTCCTTGGTTCCCGGGGAGGAGGGGAAGCACTATGGCACAGAGGCTGAGAGGACTCAGAATTGTCAAAAATGGCTTCAGGATTGTCTTAAAGTCTTACAATTCTACCAACTACCAACCCAAGAGCATGGGAGATCTTTCCACTTTCTGGCATCTTCTTCAATTTCTTTCTTTCTTTCTTTCTTTCTTTCTTTTTTTTTTTTTTTTGGTTTTTCGAGACAGGGTTTCTCTGAAGCTTTGGAGCCTGTCCTGGAACTAGCTCTGTAGACCAGGCTGGTCTCGAACTCACAGAGATCCACCTGCCTCTGCCTCCCGAGTGCTGGGATTAAAGACGTATGCCACCATCGCCTGGCCTTCAATTTCTTTCTTCAAAGATTTCTCTTTACCACTGTTCTATATCATCAGCCCTTTTTAAAAATGATTTATTTAGGGGTATTGAGATGGTTCAGCACGTGTGGGCACTTGCCACCAAGTCTGACAATGACCTCTACAAGCACACCAAGGTACACATACCCCCTCCCCAAATATACACAAAATAAATCAATGTAAAACTTTATTCTTTTTTGGGACAGGATCATGCTGTGTAGTCTTGGATGGTCTGATTATTAGATAGTGCAGGCTGGGCTTGAACTCCTAGCAGTCCTTCCTCTGCCCCCTGAGTGCTAGGATTACAGGTGCGAGCCACCATGTATTATTTCCTTCTGTCCATTCATCCTTTTTTCTCAGTGTGTGTGGGGGAGGGGTGTCAAGACAGGGTTTCTCTGTAGCTTTTGGAGCCTGTCCTGGAACTCACTTTGTAGATCAGGCTGGCCTTGAACTCACAGAGATTCACTCGACTCTGCCTCTGAATGCTGGGATTAAAAGCATGTGCTACCACTGCCCGGCCACTCATCCATCCATTTTTATGCCTTTAATTTCTCCAGAGTAGGCCTTGGCACAGGGTGCTAGAAATGACACTAGTTTTTCTTTTTATGCCCTCACCTGTACCTGCAGGGGTCTTGCACTAGCCTCCCTTTGTGCCCTTGATACACTCCTGTGCCCGTCCCTTCCTGCTTTTACAGCCATGTGTGACACAGATCCTCAGAGGGTGTTTGGAGGTGTTTTTATTTCTGTGAATGTTTTGTGTTTGCATGTAGACCTGTACCAAGCGCTGGCAGAGCTCGCGGAGTTAAGAAGAGGGGTGTTAGAACTCTGGCAGTTCAAGGCCACTTGTCTACAAGTGAGTTCGAGAACAGTCAGGGATACATACTGAGACTTTGTGTCAAACAAAAACAACAACAAAACTATTTTAAATCATTAAATAAAGTAATTAAACTGATACGAAGGAGCCCAAGCTGGTGGGGCCCTTGCCTATGGATTCGTGGCCTACTGTACAGAAAGAGAGAAGTCTGACAGTAGAAAGTGTTTGCTTAAATTGAAGTGTGATGTCTTCTCCCTCAAACCTGTTTAAAGGCAAATGATTAATAAATTAAATTGAGCTGGACATGATGACCCATGCCTTTAATTTTAGAACTCAGAGTCAGAAGAAGGTGAGTCTCTGGAGGTTCCAAGCCAGCCTGGTCTACATAAGTAATCAGTCAGACATACGAACATACAAATGAGACCTTAGCGCTCTCTCTCTCTCTCTCTCTCTCTCTCTCTCTCTCTCTATATATATATATATATATATATATACATATATATACACACACATATATATATATGTATACACACACACACATATATATACATACATACATACACACACATATATAGTTTTTTCGGAGCCTGTCCTGGAACTTGTTCCATAGACCAGGCTGGCCTTGAACTCTGAGATCCACCTGTCACTGCCTGGAGCTGGGGTTAAAGGTGTGCACCACCACTGCCCGGCCTTCAAAAAATATTTTAAAAAGGTAAAGACAATCCAAGGGCCTCCTCTACCTCCTGGTTCCTATTTTAGCGAACATCTATTTACTTATCTATTACTTATACCATTAATAATATTGAGAAATTAAGGTTGTGTTTTTTTTTTGTTTGTTTGTTTGTTTTACCCAGGAACTCGTGACAATCTTCTGCCTCAGCCTCCCAAGCGTTAAATCACCCCAGGTGAACAAAACTTCTGACAATCCTCTATCATTGAAACTTGAAAACAGCAGTTCTGAACCTGTGGGTTACACCCCATTTGACAAGCCTCTGTCTCCAGAACGATTTGCATTACGATTCCTAATGGTAGCAAAATGACGTAATGAAGAAGCAAGGAAACTGATTTTATGGTGGGGGGGGGGTCACCACAGCACGAGGAACTGGATCAAAGGGGCGCAGTTAGGAAGCTTGAGAGCCACTGCAGGGAAGACTACACTAGGATAACCTAAGGCCTCACCTCCTAGGCTTTTGTCCTGAAGTATACCCACTTGGCCCCACCTAGGAACCTAACAGACAATCACGGGCCCTCGGCTCCCAAATATCGGCTCTCTGCCTGCCCAGGCCCATGGGAGGCTAAGGCTCCCCCAGTAAATGGGCAGGGTTTCTTGGTTTCGTTTTTGCCGCGCAGGCGCAATGTGTTGCAACAAGCTACAGAAGCAACCCCTTGGCCTCCTCTACCACCGGCAGAGGGCGTGTATCCAGTAGCTCCTGGAGCTATAGGAGTTTGAGCTTGTGCAGGACAATTTAGCCTTGGACCCAAACGTGGGGAGAACACTCACGATTCCTCAGTCAGAAGATCTAAAGAATCCCCTCAAGATAGCACGAGCGGCTGAGCATGATGTCTCATGCTTATAATTCTAGCACAGCAGGCAGAGAGGCAATAGGATTGCCACAGGTTCCAGGCCATCCTGGTCCACATTCACGTAGCTAGTCAGGGATAAACGGTGAGACCCTGTCTTAGAAGAAAAAAAAATATCTCAGGGAGGCAAGAGGATTGTCACAACTTCCAGGCCATCCTGGTCCACATTCACGTAGCTAGCCAGGGATCACAGTGAGACCCTGTCTCAGAAGAAAAAAAATATCTCAGGGAAGCTGGGCATGGTGGCTCAAGCTGCAATTTCAGCATTTTGGAGGCAGAGACCAAGGACTGAGAGTTCAAGGCCAGGCTCAGTTATACAGGAAGGCTGAGATAAGCCTAGATTTCATGAGACCTTGTTTCAGAAGACTGTGTTGGGCTGTAGAAATGACTCAGTAGTTAAGAGCACTGGCCACTCTTCCAGAGGGCTCGAGTGTCGGTCCCAGTACCAAGGAATCTCCCAACTCTCTAACTCCAGTTCCAGGGGATCCAATGGCCTTTTCTGGCGCCAGGCATAAAGTTGTGCACAGACATACATACAAGCAAAGCAGCCATGCGCATTAAAAAATAAAATTAGTTCCAGGACATGATCCAAAGCTACAGAGAAACTCTGTCTAAAAAAGCCAGATTATGACAACAATAATAATATAAAATTAAAAAAAATTAAAATGGGTAATGGATATGCATTGGTGGGTAAAGTGCTTGATGCGCAGGTATTAGGACCTGAGTTCAGAACCCCAGCATGCATGTAAAATCTGGGCAGAGTGGTATATCTCTAATCTCAGCAGTGGGAGCTGGCAGGGGTGACAGAAGGATCCCAGGGGCTCAGTAGCCCACCATTTAGCCAAAGTGGCAAACTCTAGTCCAGTGAGAGATCCCGTCTCAACCACAATAGAGAGCCAGGTATGGGCTAGACTTTAGACTCTGGAAACAGGTAGACAGACCTCCGAGTTTTGAGGCCATTCAGGGCTGCCTAGTAGGACCCTGCCTCAAGCAAAGCAAAACTATGTACGGGGGCTGGAGAGATGGCTTAATGGTTAAGAGCATTGGCTGCTCTTCCAGAGGATCCAGGTTCTGTCCCCAGTCCCCACATGGCTGCTCACAACTGTATTTCCAGTCTCAGCACATCTGATGTCCTCTTCTGGTCTCTGAGGACTCTGCATGCATGTGATATTCAGGACATAGATGCAGGCAGAAACACCCATATACACAAAATAATATACATTTCTTTTGGTTTTTCGAGACAGGGATTCTCTGTGGCTTTAACGCCTGTCCTGGAACTTGCTGTGCAGACCAGGGTGGCCTTGAACTCGCAGAGAATGGCCTGCCTTTGCCTCCTGTGTGCTGGGATTAGAAGTGTGTACCACCACACCCATGGCTGAGATGGCTCAGTCTTTAGAGCATTGGCTGTTTTCCAACAGACATGGGTTGGATTTCCAGAACCCACAGATCCTGTTGAACCCCACCTTGGGGGAAAAATGAGAGGCCCAGTAGAATATGTCCATGTGAGCCCATCAATAAATTCTAATGAGCTGGGCGGTGGTGGCGCACGCCTTTAATTCCAGCACTCAGGAAGCAGAGACAGGAGGATCTCCGTGAATTCGAAGCCAGCCTGGTCTACAGAGGGAGTTCCAGGACAGGCTTCAAAGCTACTAGAAACTCTGTCTTGAAAAATCAAATGAAGAAAGAACTTCTAATAGGCTTTGTTTTAGACATATTCCCATATTCTGCCTTTCCCTCCTTACCTGCTTGTCCTAACTCTGGCCTTTATCCTCCTTGCATGCCTCGACAGCAGTTAAGAACTTCCTTTCCTCCCTACAGCTGGTAGTTGGTAACCTTTGGATAGTCCCTCTGGGCTGGTACTCCCCAAATGCCACACCTGACACTGAAAATTCATATGGAGCAAGCCAGACCGGCCATCACCCCAATCCCATAATGGCAATTAGGGACACCTCTTGAGAGGGGGGTAGACATTGGCCAGACAGTTTTAAAGTAAAAAGGCCCCAAGGAAAAGCATATAGTTTCTTTTCTTTTTTGGCTAAAACCCAAAAATGTCTGGGCACCAAAGTGTTTTGGGAAACCTGATCTTGAATCTGGCTCCCTAAACAATTCTAGAGTGACCCTTCCAGAGAGGAGAATAGTGAAAATAAAGACTTTGCAAAGACAAATTTCTTTCTAGTCAAGAGAATAAAATTTTTGAACAGGGTGAAAACCTTATATTCCAGTTGGGCCTGTTCAATAGCTTTGTCAAGAAACTACCCTTTGGAAGGTATCCTGACTGTAAGTCAGTGGTTTCTTTAACAGCCTAAGGGCCTTGACCTAACAGGGGGTTGCCTATAAACATTGGAAAACAGATATTTACATTGCAGTTCACAACAGTAGCAAAATGACAGGAAGTAGCAACGAAAATAATTTTATGGTGTTTTGGGGGGGTCCCCACAACGATGAGGTATATAAAGGGTCGCTGCAGGAGGAAAGTTGAGCAGCCCTGCTGAAAGCCATGTTTAGGCCATCACTCATAACAGTAATGTACTGCTGAAAGACTTTGGGGCACCTCAGCATTACTGCACCCCTTTCCTGGGAACCAACCACGCATACACTGGAGCTTTGAGTGCTTTCCATCCCCATTGTAGTCTTTCTCAATAGACCTGGACCTGGAACTGGGGTGAGACGACCTGCAGGTGTTCCTCCTTGTAATCGCCATAACATTGATCAAGTAGAGTTAGCTGACCGTTGAATGAAACTAGTCAAAATAGTTGACAAATGATTTTTGGACTTTCCCTTGATTCTGTACTACCCCCTCCCTGATTTTGTGGTTTTTCCTTTAAAAGAGCTTGTAATAGACAAAGCAGGAGTCCTTCCTTCTCCTCTCGAGGCTGAGGGACCTCTGCCGTGGCAGAATAAAAATTCCTCGTGCTATTGCATCAACCGTGCTGGAGAGTGTCTCTTGGGGCGACCTCCTGCTTGGTGGGGCTTTAGGGCCCAACACTGCTACTAGAGCCTCCAAATGATCCTATGTATGCTTTCTAAGTTTGAAATAAAAAATCATAATAAAAGAAGAAATAATGAGAAAAGTTTGTTTTTTTAAATCAAAAGCAGTCAGTCCAGCAATGGACTTGTATTCCCCTAATTTCCCCATTCCCCTTGCTTTGATTAGCCAATCGTGTCAGATTGTGAAGTTAAGTTCCCACCAATGGGTATAATGCAATGCAAGCCAACCACCTCCACCTACAAAAAAAATAGCCATGTTTTGCCCAGGTGTGCGTTCTAGCACTTCTTTTGCCACCCTCTCCTCCAAGAACTAACTTACCTAGCTACTTTATTTTTCCCTTTGAGTGTTCTTTTGTGCAAGGCGAGATTATTTATTGCCTGTTAATAACACCATGCATACCTATTTGGCTTGTTTTTTTTTTTTTTTTTCTCGAGACAGGGTTTCTCTGTGTACCTTTGGAGCCTATCCTGGCACTAGCTCTTTAGACAAGGCTGGTCTTGAACTCACGGAGATACGCCACCACTCTGAGATTAAAGGCGTGTGCCACCACTGTCTGGCGGAACCATGTAGATCAGAATGATTCTGGAACTTAAAAAATCAGCCTGTTTCTGCTTCCCTAGTGCTGGGATTAAAGGGGCGCACTAACATGCACAACAGCATTGATAAATTTTAAACTGTAGTATGATGAAAGCGCCAGGCCTGGTGGTGTGATCTCACTAATCTTTGACAGTAAAAACAAGCATCCTCTGCTGACTTTTGACCCGCGATCAATTTTATTTTATAATTTTTGTTTTTTGAGGCAGGGTTTCTCTGCTTAATAGCCCTGGCTGTCCTGGAACTCGCTCTGTAGAGCAGGCTGGCTTTGAACTCAACAGAGATCCGCCTGCCTCTGCTTTACGAGTGCTGGGATTAAAGGCGTGCGCCACCACCGCCCCGGCCACGAGCAGTTTTAAACACTGAGGTGGTATTTGAACCAGCGACTTAAGGTTCTTAAACCTGGGTTTTGGAAAGATGCCTAGCTACAGGTCACAACCACTGCGCATGTCTAGAAGCAGTTCCGGGAACCCGGAGCAAGGGTGGGGGTGGAGCTACATTATTCCCAGGACCCCCGCAAGCCGCAGAAAGCAGCCGACCCGGGGTCGCAGGAAAGGGCCGACCTCGAGCCCGGCCGGCAACCAATCAGAGCCCACCAGGGCAGCGCCTCAGCCAATGGCCTGAAGCGAGGGCCTTGGGAGCGGGTTCCAAATGGGTTCGAGGGGTCACAGGAAAGCGGCGAACGTGGCCGGCGACCAATTCAGAGCCAAGCGGGGCAGCGCCTCAGCCAATGGCCTGCGCGAGGGCCTCGGGAGCGGGTTCCGAATGGTTCGAGGGGTCGCAGGAAATCTGCGAACGTGACCGGCGACCAATCAGAGCCAAGCGGGCAGCGCCTCAGTCAATGGCCTGCGCGAGGGCCTTAGGAGCGGGTTCCAAATGGTTCGAGGGGGTCGCAGGATAAGCGGGCGAACGTGCCGGGTGGGATAGCGGCGTCCCGCTGGCCCGATAGTTCCATCCGCCAGCGCAGCGTGGCGGGAAGCACGCCCAGACGGGGTTTTTGGGGTGTGAGCGGATGGTGGCCGTCTGCGGCCGAGATGCCGCTTCCCTGTTTGCCCCGCTCCTCCGCCATGGACAAGTGGAACCGTCCCAAGATGGCCGCGCCCTGCAGGGGCTCGAGCCGGGCGGCGGCTCCCGAGTTCCCCCCACGCCCGACATCCATGTGGTTCAGCCAAGGCCGCCGCGATCCGCGGCTCAGATGGTCCCCTCCGGTCACCACGCAGTGGTTTGGGCCGAGCTAGCGTCACAGGGCTTGGGAGTGGCTACTTCCCTGAGCACCAGGTCTTAGGGTGGGTGCGGTCCTGAGACTGCAAATATTTGAAAGGGAAAACGTTGTGGAGTGACCTGGTTTTCACTTTTGAGATAGAGTCGTACACTCTATATTGTCCACACTGCTTCTAACATCCTGTGTTGGCCAGTTTGACCTAAAACTCGAGGAGATCCTCCTGCTACCCTGCTGAACACTGCGGTTATAGGAGTGATTGACAGGGTGGGGAGGGGCTTGGGGAAAATACCGAACGTTACACAGATATTTCATAAAAGTAACTTTCGTGAGCCCGGCATAGTGGCACACTCCTTTAATACCAGACTCAGGGGAGAGGGGCAGAGGCAGGCGGATATCTGAGTTTGAGGACATAATGGTTTACAAACTGAGTTCTAGGACAGCTAGGGCCTACGAAATGAGACCCTGTTCTTGAGTCCTCGCCAAAAACAAACAAACAAACAACAACAAAACAAAAAAACAAATAACAAAAATAGTAACAATAGGGGCTGGAGAGATGGCTCAGCACTTAAGAGCACTGGCTGCTCTTCAAAGGACTGGGCTCATCCCTAGCAGCCACAAGGTGGCTCACAACTCTCTGGAACTCCAGTTCCAGGAGAGCACTCCCCTGGTCTCTGCAGACACCAGGCACTCATGTAGGGCAGAGACATAGAGGCAAGCAAAATACCTAGAAGATTTAAGAGAAATAAAACCCACCAACAATTAGCTTCATATCTTTTTTCATAATTCATGTCCATCTCCCTTGCATTCAGTCCTTCCCCATTCCCTTATACTTAGTCTTTCTTGTTCTTTTCTTTGCTATACTGTGTCCCATGTAAACATTTGCTTACATATATACATATATTATTGGCTACATTCCAAATATAACAGGCATTTTTCTGAGAATAAAATACATTCTAAGTTCATCCATTTTCCTGCGAGTTTTTGTTTAACTTTTTTTTTTTTTTTAGCACTGAATAACATTCCATTGTTTTAAATATATTGTTGGGATTCTGGAACCCCAAAACCACCAAGAGACCACATCCAATGCAAAAGCAAAGTCTTTTTTTATTACAAGTTAAATGGGGTCCATCTGTCCGTTGGTCCACCCGCTGGTCCGATGGAGGAGGGACCCCCCAAGAGCAGCAGTGGGGCAGGGGGATAGAGCAAAGGGGGGGATGGTCTGGGAGTCTTCAAGTTGCACGGACAGTCTGGGATAGGCACACCTCCAGGCTGGGGGAACCTGTCCTGAGGTAATTGGTCAGCTGCAGCTGGGGAAAGGTTGCTATACCTGGAAGCCATGGGGGAGCGGTTACTGCATTCCACCATTAACAGTAAAGCACATCCAGAGCCCGCCAGCGCCAGCTCACTTCTGATTGCTTCCTTACCAAATGGAGGAATACCTGGCAATTTCTTCCCAGTAATTAAGGCAAGGCCAGGGGCTCAGCACATCCTGCTCAGTCAGGGGCCTGTATCTTGCTGGGTCTTTTCTGCAGCCTGTCACAGTTGCCAACTGGGGTGGGGAGTGCTGGGTAAACCCTTCAATACGGCTAATGAAAATTTGGTGTGTGTTGTTAATGGACTAGATAGATTTCATTCTTTCCTATAGTGATTAAAGCAGCGATAAAACATGGGGGGTGGCAATATCTCTATGGTAGGGTATGGGGTTCTTTGAGAAATCTTCAAACTGATTTCCACAATGACTTTATATTAGCTTGCACCACTATCAAAAGTTGATTAAGGGTACTTTCTCTCCACATCCTTTCCAACATTGGTTGTCAGATTTATGGACAGCCATTCTGACTGGGGTGAGGTGGTATCTCAAAGTAGGTTTAATTTGCATTTCCTTAATGGCTAAGGATAGTGAACACTTTAAAAATGGTTATTGGTCGTTTTTGTTTGGTTTTCCCCATGCAGACCTCAAACTCAGGTATCCACCTGTCTCAGCCTCCTGAG